TTTTTTTTTTTTTTTTTTTTTGTACCAGGGATCAAACTCAGGTCCTTGTGCTTGCGAGGCAGGCAGTGGCACCACTGAGCTAAATCCCTGGCCCATGGTGCAACTTGGAGTCTTGTTCAGGAACTGGGTCCACGATGCCGGGACCCTTCTGCTCTGTGGCCTCTGCATGTCGCATCAACTCTTGGGGAGCTGCACCCAGGAGGCCTCTATGCTGGCGCTGCTTCTGCTTGGCCTCGTGGCATCAGTCTTAGTGGTAGCATTTTTCCTTGGCTTTCTGTGCAAGTTTTCCAGGTGCCACCTCACTGACAAATTCTATCTGTGTGGCATCCCAGCTCAGATTCAGAGCAGCTCGAGGGCAGGAAAAGCAAACCCAGCTGAAAAGAGGGCTGCCTGACAGCTGAACTCCCAACTTTAGAAGTGATGTGTTGTACAGATATTTCTTGCCAAGTGATGGCTCTCAAGCAGTGTGACCACTAAATGCATTCATGAAAACCTGTGCAGACTTTCATGGCCAGGTTGCTTAGTTCCTCCCTGTTCCTATTTGGGACAAGCGAGGCACACATATCTGGTCTTATAGGACAGTTGAACCATTCTCATTGGTAAGTATTTTATTACTAACTGACCTGTTACATAATCTTGTTACTAATCAAAATATGTTCCATATCCTATTATATGCTATCAGCTATATCTTCTAAAATGAGTAAGTTCTGCTGAATTTTAACATAACTTAAAGCTTGAGGAGCTCAACTTTTTTTTTTTTTTTTTGAGACAGGATCTCACTATGTAGTTGAGACTGACCTGGAACTCACTATGTAGCCCGGGCTGCTCTTGAACTCACAGCGATCCTCCTGCCTCAGCCACCTGAGTGCTGGGATTACAGGTGTGCATCACCATTCCCAGCGAGGAGCTCAACTTTTTAAAATGCAATTGACAGTGGTTCTGTTCGCTGCCTTGCAAGTGCAAGGTCCTGAGTTCAATCCTCCCCTCCCCCATACCAAAAAACAAACAAACCAAAATGCAATTGAAATGCAACACATATTTTTGCTTTTGAAATGCAACAAATGAGCTGATCCTGGTGGTGCTGTAATCCCACCATTCAGGAGGCTGAGGCAGGAAAATCACCACAAATTTGAGGCCAGCCTGGGCTGCATAGTGAGACCCTGTCAAAAAAATCTAAAATGGGCCAGGGATTTAGCTCAGCGGTTCGGTGGCCTGCCTTGCAAGCGCAAGGACCCGAATTCAATCCCTGGTACAAAAAAAAAAAAAAAAAAAAATTAAAATTCTACCATTTTCTTCTGGAAAAGATTATTATATGATTTTTAAAATATAAAACAGAGATCACCAACTCAAATACTATAGGTTACTATAGGTAACCTTAAATGAAACTATTATGACTTTATAAAATGTTATATATATATTTTTTTTTGTTATATTTTAATTATATTAAACCATGGCAACTAATTCCATTTTTTAAAAGACTAGCACTGTGCAGGGCTGGGATTTAGCTCAGTGGTGCTGCGCCTTCCTTGCAAGTGCAAGGTCCTGAGCTCCATCCCTGGTACGGGGGGTAGAGTAGGGGGGTGGGGGAGACTAGCACTATGGAAATTTAACCAAACTTATAAAATTTGTTTCTTTGGCCCAAAGTCTGCTATTTACTCCATCATGCACACATGAGCTTTTTTTTTTTTTTGGTGTCAGGGATTGAATTTGGGACCTTGTGTTTACAAGGCAGGTGATGGAACCACTGAGCTAAATCCCTGGCCCCACATGAGCTTTTTAACAAAAATAGTTACTTTATGTTCTGTCTCTTGAATTGTGATGGCAAGGCAGAAGAGTAGTAGTATTTTTAATTTCAATCAATAAGCAGGAGGTTTGTGGTAGAAATAACCAAGATTCATACTATAAGCTCTATTACTTCCAGTTGTCATTTGTTTGTTTTATTTTGTTTTGAGACAAGGTCTCACCATGTAGTTCAGGCTGGTCTTGAACTCACTGTATCGCCCGGGCTGTCCTCATACTCTAAGCGATCCTCCTGCCTCAGCCTCCTGAGTGCTGGGATTACAGATGCGTGCCACTACATCCAGCATCTGCCCTTATTTTATAGTCTGTGAGAGTTATACATCCTCAAACACTCATTTCTACATTAAAGATTCACAGTGTCAAAAAAACTGTTCCTTTAGCATTTGAGGGTAAACTTTAAATATTTGCCTAAACCGGAGATGATGGAGTGTTTCTATACTCCCAGCTATTTGGAAGGCTGAGGCAGAAGGACCACTTGAACCCAGGTGTGTGAGGCTGGCCTGAGTAACACCTCATCAAGAAAGAAGGAAGGGAAGCAAGCAAGCAAATGAGAGAGAGAGAGAGACAGAGAGAGAGAGAGAGAGAGAGAGAGAGGAGAAAGAAAGAGTTTCAATACAAATCCAAGGTTCATGTTTTTCAAAATGTTAATTTTGGAGCGGCTGTGTTCAGAGGTGAGGTTGCCCAGATCCCTCAGACAATGCTAAGTAAATAAGCCTGTTTTATTTGTTGTTCAGCATGGGGACTGTGGTTGATTTTTCTTAACTAACATTATCTCTACTTTGGAAACACAATGAAAGTTAAACACTAATACAGTCCTATAGGGAAAGTATTTTTTAGACATAAGACAAACATCTTAAAAATCATTAAACCCTTGTATATTTTTTCTTCTCTTTCAAATCTCATAACATAGAATCAAAAAACCCATAGATCACAATGCTGCTTGTTGTACTCCCCAGCTTGCTGTATTTTTTTAACTCAGTAAATTTTTATTTTGTTAGTTTGGTTTTTTATTATTTTTTTTTTTACTTAGAAAATATTTATGTGTCCAAAATCCCTGAGACACAGAAATAGGTTAAGTAATCAATCTATGAACTGTTTCCACTTTAGTTTTTTGTTATGTTTTGTTCTTTATCCTTCAAATTTAAACATCTCAGAGGAGAGAGAGAGAGAGAGAGAGAGAGAGAGAGAGTGTGTGTGTGTGTGTGTGTGTGTGTGTGCATGTGTGCTTGTGTGCGTGTGTGTGACTGTCGGCTTGATCCCAGGCCATTTGCTCTAAGCTACATATCCATCCCTTTTAAAAACTTTTTAGTTTTTATTTTTTTG